TGGAACGCGCCAGGAAGCCCGAATCGCAAAGCGTTGTACGACAGGGCGTCTGAAAACAGATTCCCCACATGTTTGTGGCCTTGTTGCAAGTCACTTTGCACTTGCTCGAAGTTGTCACAGAATGAGGGAACCCTAAACCGAAACAACCCTACCTTAAGAACCCAACACCTACCATTTTTGTAGGCTCTCGAATGATCCTTTACGGGGTATATAATAAGAACCTACAACAAAGTAGGTTTGGGTTTTGTAAGGTAGGGTTGTAAGTACCCTAAAAAAGGTTGCTTTCTTATAACCCCCTTGTAGCAAGCAACCTTTTTTAGGGTACTTACAGCCCCCTTATACCTACCCATGAACCTCCAAGTATAGTGCACTTCGGGCTTGGTGTTTGCGGCATTGTATGCGGGTTTCTCTGCATGTCGCTCAACTTCCGAAAAGGCGCTGTCACCCCAGAATTGCCAACCATAAGCCCTGAACTCTATATATCCAAACCTTAGTCCTGGGGTTCTAGCAGATCCTAAACCCTCATCCCTGAGCCCTGAACCTTTTGCCAGCTGATGCTTATCCAGGGCTTAGGGAAATGCCGTTCAGTTCTCAGGGCCCCCCGCAGGCAAACAGCAAAAGGCTAATCTGAGGCGCACTCTCGAACCCCGAAGACGCAGTTAGGGTTCTGACAGGAATATTACAGGGTTGTGGAGCCATTTAGTTGTACAGTGACAGGACTGATCAAGAAAGCATTGGTTGAAGAAACGAGCATGCTCGCGGCCGGACCCCCGGCTAGAAAAATGCGAAAACTGAAAGCAAGACTAGCTTACGAAATCGAGGGTACCCTCATAAATTATGCCCCTCAGTATCTAGAAGTAAAACAATTCTGGAAATCCAGCCCCTGTATTTCTGGATGCTTCCCCCCCTTGCATGAAAACACCCCCCCTCCTCAAATAAGAGCTCCAGCCCATCCGTGTCTGAAATTTAGGAAATCCAGCCCCTCAATTTCATAAAATTAAGAAATCCAGCCACTCCATTCCTTAAATTTAAGAACTCCAGCCCTTCGATTTCTAAAATTTACGATTTCTTAAATCCACCCCCCTCCCCCGCCCTCCACCCCCCATGCCCTCACCCCCGGCTCGCATCCCCTCCCCCCTCTCCCAACCTCAAGCAAGAAAACTAAAGAATTGTTTGAAGGGGGAAGGCGTGGGAGAACCCATAAGCACCCCAAATCCAGACACCGAGGGGCGGATTTGTCATTAGAGGGGGGGTGGGGGGGGGGCTGGATTTAAGAAATCGAGGGGCTGGATTTCTTAAATATAAGAAATCGAGGGGTGGATCTCATAAATTTAAGAAATGGAGGGGCTGGATTTCTTAAATTTCCGAAATCGAGAGGCTGGATTTCCTGTTTGAGGGGGGGCACACCCAATTAAGAACTCGAGCGATCAGCCTAATGGATAAGGCGTCGCCTTACTATTTCAAACGTTACCAGTTCGAATCCCATTAAGACATAGATTAAGAAATCGAGCGTACCGTGGAGGTTATACTTCCGGAAATTGGGTGAGCTTCAGAATTCAGAAATCCAGGGTACCCTCACCAAAACTTCTGGGTTTCTGATGCAGCGCTGTCACTGCGCCTGAAGAAGCCGAAAACTTTCTTGTAGGCTCTTGTTATATATCCCCTGATGGGATTCTCAGGTAACCTACAAACAAAAGAGCTTTCGGGCTCTTAAGGTAGGATTGCTTAGTACAGGATTGTTACTATTTGTTTGTCTGTTTGGTTGTTTGGTTGTTTGCTTGCTTGCTTGTTGTTTTTTTGTTGAAATCAGGGTTTCGAGGCGTTAGGGTTCACCTGTCGCATATGCCGGTTTACCGAGAACCTCATTGTGGATTCTTAGTCACTCGAAACCATACCACAGAGGTCTTCCCTAAAACCTAAACCCTAAACCCTAAACCTAAGCCCATAATCAACTTCTGAGCCGTCCTGTGGCGCAAGAACGTCTACGCCCTGGATGTGGAGGTGTTACACATGTGTGTAACCCCTCCAAGACGCTCAATCACACACCCTCACTGAACCCTACATCCGTCCCATCTCAGGCGGAAGTTCCCTGGAGGTTAAGCCCTAAACCCTAAACCCTAAGCCCAAAACCCTAAATCCTAAACCCTAAACCCAACAAAGCAACTTGGAGGTTTAGGATGTAGGTCCAGAGCTGGATTTTTCATCACAGTAAGCCCTCAACCCTGAACCCTTAATGTCAAACCCTAAACCAGAATTCAAGACCAATGAAAATAAGAAAAACATGCTTTAAAAAGAAAAGTAAAAGCCCTAAACCCTACACCCTAATGTTGCACTGACTTTAGTGTAAGGAGGGTCTATAATCACAAGTTTCCAAAGTTTATTCTGCGAACCGAGTTTGTTTAGGGTACCCCGCTACTATCACATGTTTTTGTCCGGACTCGTCTTTTTGTTTGAAGGGTTTGTGTTTTGGGCTAAGGGCTTACGCAGTAAGGCTTGAGGCCCTGAGGGCCTTGGGCTCCAGGATTCTTAAAGAGACAGAGCGCGGAGAATCCAGAAATGTAAGCCCGGCCAGTTCCATGTAAAGCCTTATGAAATTTCATGTCGAAACGAGGCCCCGAACAAATTTTGTGATAGGTAGCCCACGGGCCGGTCAGATTGTCTTTAGTAAGTTTGTCTGGCTACCCTCTATAGTACCAAGTGTTTTTCGGAAGATTCTTTGTTAAGGGTTTGTGTTTAGGGTTACGCAGTAAGGCTTGCTTGAGGCCCTGAGGGCCTTGGGCTCCAGGAATCAGCTGGAAAGCTTCACCAAGGGCTTGAGGCCCTGAGGGCGGTTTCCCCCCCCCCCCCCTCAAATTTGTTTGGGGGGGTCGCTGCACCGTGCGTTTTTAGAGGGTCCAAATTTGTTTGGGGGGGGGGGGGGGGGGGGGGGGGTCCCCCATACTAAAGACAATGCAACATTAAACCCTAAACCCTAAACCCTACACCCTAAACCCTACAAGCCCTAACTGCTGCCTCCGTCTTGGGATGTGGAGAGCGAACTGTGAGCCGAAACCAGGAGCGCTGAGAGCTTCGTGGCGTTGGGGGTTGGTTGAGGAGAAGGCTTTGGGGTTTAGGGTTTAGGGTTTAGACAGCTGTGGGGGGGAGGGGTGGGGTGAGGTTGGAGTTGTCGAGGGAAACTGGCATTTGGGAGGGGGATTGAGAAGCTGAGGAACCCTAAACCCTAAACCCTAAAGAATAAAAACCCTAAACCCTAAACCCTAAACCTAAACCCTAGACCCTAAACTAAACCCTAAATCCTAAACCCTTCCTGTTTGGCAGGGTTAGAGGGCAAGCTTCGGGTTGTAGGCCTCTCAGGGTTTGATGGCAGAGGACTAGGGTAGATTCGAGGTGTTGGAGGTTTGACGGGTTTAGGGTTTATAGGGTCTAGGGTTTAGGGTTGGCTTTCCGGCTGAGCGTAAACAGGCTCTAAGGAGCATCTGGTGCACGGCTTTGAGAGTGCAGGGGCTTAGGGGCCTTGGAAAAAAGCCAAACCCATGGATTAAGGGCAATAAGGAGGGACCCCTAGAAGGGGCCCTTAATCTTATTCCCCTATATAACCGCTATACATACACCTTATAGAGTCCCTGTCTACTGAAGTAGCCCCCACATAACCCCCCCAAAGCATCCCTGTGGCCTATAAAGCTCCTCCTATAGTCCCTTGATGGAAGTTCGGGTCAAGGATCATAAACCCTACACCCTAAACCCTCAACCCTCCTCAGCCCTGAGCCAAAAACCCTAAACTGGTCTAGGGTTCAGGGTTTAGGGTTTAGGTCAGGGTTTAGGGCTTAGGGTTTAGGATTTCGGGTTTAGAGCTTGGGGTCTTTCAGCCACCCGGGATACTGTGACTTTTGGAGCGTCTGTGAGCCAACGAATTTGGACGCCACGATTCTTTCGTGGCATTTGTGGGCCGACTCCCTGAAATGTGACCCCTTGTGGGGTTAAGGGCTTAGGATATAGCGTTCAACCCTAAAGCCTAAAACCCTAAACCCTAAACCCTAAACCCTAAACCCTAAACCCTATACCCTCTTCATATTTAGGGAACCCCGGGACCGGAGTTTCGAGGACTGCCCACGTGGGTGAAACTGCTGGAGCTCGCAGACCTTACCTGGTGCCTTTTGTTGAGGAACGCGCTTTCCCATGTAAGGGTTTAGGTTTTAGGGCTTAGGGTTTAGGGTTTAGGGCTTAGGGTCACCGACTAAACCCTAAATGCTCTTTTTGAACTCAGGGACGCAGTTACCCTAAACCCTAAACCCTAAACCCTAAACCCTAAACCCTAAACCCTAAACCCTAAACCCTAAACCCTAAACCCTAAACCCTAAACCCTAAACCTCTAGGAATCGGGTTGAGGGTGCTAGAGTTGAGAGAAACGTCTCCGCTCTCAGCTGTTCAGCAGAGCTTGGAATTTCTCGTCCTCACTTCGGTCGTGGCAACTGAGGGCTTCTTCGGGTTTAGGGTTTAGGGTTTAGGGTTTAGGCTTTAGGGTTTAGGGTTTAGGGTCCAGGGGATATGCTTCGATTAGGGTTTAGGGTGTTTAGGGTTTGTGGTTTAATTAGGGTTTAAATTTAGGGCTGAGGGAGGCATCGTACCCTAAACCCTAAACCCTAAACCCTAAACCCTAAACCCTAAACCCTAAACCCTAAACCCTCTGTTTCCGCCCCTTCTGGAGCTTGTCTGGGGGCTGGTTTCACAACGCCGCCTCGACGTTGGTGGGTTTTGGTTTTTTGCCCGCTGGCAGCTGCGGCTTTTGGTCAGAACAAACCGGCACTCGGCTTTGCAAAGTAACTACACCCTAAACCCTAAACCCTAAACCGTTGTACTACAGGGGCCTTAATAGCTAGAATAGAGTGTTGGGGGGTCTTGTAGTAGAGTGGAATGCTAGTTGTACTTATTCCGACCCTACGTTACCTCCCTTCCGCAGTCGTGTGCTGGCTTTTGTTTTATGAGCAGGATCCGATGGGCCTCTACTTGGCCTGCTGGCGTGAAGCATTGCCAAGGTCAAAGCATGCGTGCATATGGTACTCTTTCCAGCCTGCCCTCGAAAACCTCCTCATAACATCGTCCACCTAAGACCGGTCGCAGAAACCTGTTGTTTAAAGGTTTAGCAATACTGAACGTGGTACCCTTGCAGAGATTGTGATTTTGGCTGCTTCTTAGGGATTGCAGTAACCAACACTTACACGTTGTTTCCAAGTACCCCTAAGTTAGGGTTTAGTGCTTAGGGGTTGGAGCTTAGAGTTCAAAATGCCCAACAAATACCTTATGATTCGTCTAAAAGGGATTTAGTGGTTGAAGGTAGTTCCGAGTTTCGGGTTCATCGGGTTTGGGGCTCGTAGGGTTCTGAGGGTTCTTCGGTATTGCTTTTGTTTTAAGGCGTTTAGGGCGTTCGGGTTTTCTAGGCTTTTTGGTTAAATTCAAGGATTGCACTGGGGTTTGGGGAAACGTGCCTGCTCGCGCAGCTTCTCCTCGAACTGCTCTACGAGCCTTCGTCGGGGTCTGTGCGCTAGGACCCTAAACTCTGCTTGGAGGTTCATGGGTAGACACAAGTGCGTTCATGAGTGGTAACTATGGTGATAACGGGTTATAACTTTTTTTAGGGCGCTTATAGCCCTACTTATAACTACCCATGAACCTTCAAGTGGGGCTTGTGCCTTGGACCCTTGAGGTTGTACTGTGGGGTTTTGGGGACCCTTTTTGAAGATCCTTAAGGTAATATAAGGGCCATATTAGGAGTATAGTTAGGGAAACCTTCAGCGGCACCACCGTCGAGGTACAAGTCTTAATCCCTTAAATGAACCCTATGACCCCCAAATCCCTAGCCGTGGCCCCAACACAGCACAAGTTGCATGGGGTAGCCCAGATACCATATCAAAGTTAGGGTACCCTTTTCTTGGTTGGCTACTTTATAAGGGGACCTTGAACCAAAAAAGGGTACATCTGGGCTACCGAGTTAAAGGAGCTTTTGAGGGTCTAGGGTTTGGCTTGACGCGGGCCTTAGGATTGTGAACACCAGGAGTACGACCGCTCTATGGGTGTCAGGCTTCGAGGGGGGCATGGGGGACGCTAAGCCCGAAACCCTTAAACCCTTAAACCCTTGAACCCTTAAACCCTGAAACCCTTCAACTCTTAACCCCTTAAACCCTTAAACTCTTAAAGCCTTAAAGCCTTAAACCCTAAACCCCAACCCGTTTGTGAGATGCTTCGAGTTTCGGGCGCGGTGGGGCCGCACATCCCGCGCCCTCAGGGCTTTCTGAGCCCGACGACGAAGCCACGGGGGATAGACAGAGGTGCAGAGATGGCTCCCGAAATGCTCAATGTACCCCAAACACCACAACCCGAAGCCCTAGAGCCGCCGGGGTTTAGGGTTTAGGGTTTAGGGTTTAGGGTTTAGGGTTTAGGGTTTAGGGTTTAGGGTTTAGGCCCTCATGCCGACTCATTCCTACGACCCTAAACCCCTAAATCTTTTGACCCGATACCCCAAACACCCTAGAACTCTAAGCCCTCTACGACCCACAAAGCGTAACACCCTCTCCTTTGTAGCCCGGTAACCATATTGTAATAAAGATACCCATTTTTTGTTGGTTACTTTGTAGGGGAACCCAGAACCAAAACAAAACGCACAAAGGGTACCACTGGGCTACCAAGTTTAGCGCGAAACCCTAAATCCTAAAAACCCGAACTGCCTCTTCACACCCTCCTCCACGCGCTGCTTGATGAGGGCCGCCTGCTCGTCCTGCAAACCCAACTAGAAGGTTAAACTTGAGACCCCAAACCTCAGGGGGTTCCAGGTTTAGGGATTGTTGCCCTGAACCCAAACCCTAAACCCAAACCCTAAAGCCTAAACCCTAAACCCGAAATCCTAAACCCTAAACCCCGAAATCCGAAACCCCGAAATCCTAGTAGAGGTTGTCGAAGGAAGACTTTTTGCCGAACAAAAAGAGCAACACTGGTTTAGGGGTGAGGGTTTCAGTCAGGGTTTTTGGTACGACATCAGACTGGGGGCGATTTTCACACGCCATTCAGTGCACGAGTCTTCTGTAGCTCAATTCTTACTTCGCTAACGTCATCCCCCTCTGTCAAAAAGAATACCTAGGGTAAGCCCGGGCCGGAAATGCGGATAAAGGAACACTCTCCGCTTCCAGACCTAAACACTAAACCCTAACTCCCAAACCCTAAACCCTAAACCCTGAACCGTGAACCCTAAACCCTAAACCCTAAACCTACACCGACCGTAAACCGAAAGCCCAAGGGATTCGGGCTGTTAAGGTTTCACGGGTGTGGGTTACCCTAAACCCAAAACCCCTAAACCCCTAAACCCCTAAACCCCTAAACCCCTAAACCCCTAAACCCCGAAACCCTAAACCCCCAACCCTAAACCCTAAACCCTAAACCCTAAACCCTAAACCCTAAACCCTAAACCCTAAACCCCAACTCCCGGTGTGGCACCTCTGGCTCCTGCTTGGAGCGGATGCGTCGCATCTCCGCCTCCGCCATCTCCTGCTCCGAGGGCCTGCTGCGGGTTTAGGGTTTAGGGTTTAGGGTTTAGGGTTTAGGGTTTAGGGTTTAGGGTTTTGGGGTTCAGGGGTTTGGGTTTAGGGACCTGAAGCCCTAAGACCCCAGGCCCCGTCCCATTTGGGGCTTCGGGGCTTGCAGTCTTGCATCGAGATGGATTCGCTCAAGTTTGGACTAGGCTGCCCAGGAACCTAGGCTTAAAAGGGTGCCCTTTTTTGCTAAAAGGGGCTTATAAGGGAACCTAAACCTACCAAAAAGGGAATAAGGGTACTGGACGAGACTGAAGGCCAGGGCTTGCCTTCAGGTTCATGGTTAGTTAAAAGTAAGGTTCTAAGCGTCCTAGTTCACGTTCTAACCAGCTACCTTGCTGACCACCCCACCTATAACTACCCATGAACTCCCAAGGTTTTGGGGTATAGGACTGCAGAAAAACCCTGGGAAGGGCTTTGACTGCCGAAGCCGATCGCAGAGTAACGCTACGTTCTGTGCCACAGACCGTGGCACTCCTGGGCTTTCCGGATCTCAGAAGCAGGCGCAAGGCAAACTGCAAGAGAGTTCATCGTGCATCTTCAAAAGAGCTGAACTAGTTGCAAAGACGCATTGTAAAAGGCGAAAGAGCCAAAACTACTTAGTCGCGCAGTAACCATGCATGGACAGGACTAAAGTTTCGACCTACCCAGACGTGAACATGTTGCGGAGTCGCGGAGTCACGAACATGTGGATTTTAACATATAGCCTGCGCAGCGGAGAAAATTAATCACCCGAAGAAAAATATTTTACTATTTTGAAAGGTGGAGCCCTGCAGTGCTAGGAGTCCGGGAAGGGGGCTTGGCATTGCCATGCTTGTCTGTGTGTACTGATGTCTTGGTCGCGGGTCGAACTTTCGTCCTACCTGAATCATTATTGCAATAAGGGTACCCTTCTTGGGGGTGGGTTACTTTACAAGGAAATATAGAACCAACATAAAGAAAAAGGGCACCACTGTGCTATAAAGACACCCTGAATCTCGACATGTGTTTCCGTTGAAATACTATTTGGCATAGGTCTCGAAATTAGGGTCCCTTTTTGGGTCCCATATGTAGTAGGGCACTCTTCAAAAGAAGGACCCAAAAAGGGGCGGTTCACGGGTAGTTATAAGTAAGGTCATACATAAGGTAACTGTAACTAGAACTGGGTATAACCTTCTTTGGGGTACTTAGAACACTACTTACAACTACCCATGAACCTCCAAGTAGCCCTAAACCCTAAACCCTAAACCCAAAACCCCCCAAAAAAAGAAGAGCCCGGTTCAAGGTGCCCTAAGCTGCAAATCCGCCCAGCCAAGGCTCCTGAAGAGGTGCGCAAGCTCGGGCTGTGTAAGCGGGTCGACCTGAAAAGAGCTCACAACGGGGTCATTGGAGGGTCGAGCGATTCTTTTTTTTTTTTTTTTTGGGGGGGGGGGGGAGGGCTGAGAGCTTTTCAGGGCTTAGGGAGTCAGGCTTAAGGGGGTGGGCGTAGCATGGTCTGCATGTCCAGAGGTACCCCACACTTTTCGGTGCTAGGCTGGTGCTAAAAACAGTGCCCTGTGGGCGAATGTGAGGCCACCCTACAGCACGACCTGAAGTCGCTGCCATCGCCTGTGATGCTCAGCTCACCGGCTAAACCCTAAACCCTAAAACCTATAACCCCAAATGCTATACCCTACATCCTAAACCCTATAAACCCTAAACCGAAGCTGCTCGGCGAGTGTCACGTCGCCCGTATCAGCAGACCGTGCGTTCCGGGCACAAGCTAAGGCACGTGTTGCCGGAGTGGGGGATATATCGAACTCATTCTTCAAGTACGAATCGAAGGAAGGCAACTCGAGTCTAGGTACTGCACTACACGAGGTTTAGAGTTCAGAGTTTTCTTAGTTGCTGAGTTCATGAGCCAGAACAAGTGTACACTTTCAGTCCTTTAGGGGAATATAGCATCCCAAAAAAGTGTCAAGTGTGCTCACTCAGCTACTTAGTTTTCGCTTGAGGTTTCGGGGTTCTTGGAATCCTCGCAAGAGGGTTCTTGAAGGCGGGTGGAGGATGTTCAACTTCGTGCCGAGACCGCTCATTCCCTGCAGGCAGTTCTGCACAGTTCGGCCGTACCAGATCTTGTTTATTGAAGAACAAGCTGGAGATACCTCAATAACCACCCGAAACTCTTTTGCACCCTAAACCCGAAACTCTAAACCCTAAGCCCTAAACCGCAAAACCCCAAGCCATCGATCAATAAACTAATCAGGAGCCTGGGGCCCTACATTCATAAAGCCCTCGACCGACAGGAGCCCTGAGCCTATAACCCTAAACCACGGCATGCCAGCTCGCAGAACCCCCTTAACAGTATAAATAAATCATGAAATAAATGAATAAAACAACTAACAAAATAAATAAATAAATATATATATATATATATACGGAGAGGTTCATGGGTAGTTGCAAGAAAAGCGTAAGGTAACTTTAATTGTCACTGGTTCTAAGGGTACTTATAACCCTACTTCCAACTACCCATGAACCTTCAAGTTGGGGGGGACGCAAGGTACCTCGTTCCCTCATGCCCTGCTAAGAAACAGCAACATGATCCCCTACCCCCCCACCCCCCAAAACCCGAAACCCTAAACCCCTAGACTCCTAGACCCCTAGACCCCTAGACCCCTAGACCCCTAGACCCCTAGACCCCTAGACCCCTAAACCCCTAAACCCCTAAACCCCTAAACCCTAAACCCCAAACCCTAAACCACTAAACCCTAAACCCCTAAACCCCAAACCCTAAACCCTCTAAGGCTGGCGCTTCGCAGTCCAAGGTCATGGGCGCCGGATCCCGCAGGGGCGGCGTCGCACCTGGCGAATGGGTTTAGGGTTTCATGCTGTATCTCACTCTCTCGGAAGAAGTCGGGTGAGAGCTCCTCTTAAAGAAACCGAATATGCCGCCAAGTGGGCCGGCTCAGGATTCTTTAAGCAGGACCGCATCTTAGGATTCGTGAAGCTTCTGCGATGGTGGCTGTAGGGCCGCGCACCCCCGCATAGTCATCTCTTCCCACGCGGCCCAATTCACGCAAAATGTTCCCTAGACTGGGGTGTGTGCTGGAATCCTAAACCCTGAGCCTTAACACCCTGAACCTAAAACCCTAAACCATAATGCCTTTGGCACAGTGTGCTTCTAGGCCACAGGAGTAACCTAGAAGGAATCTACACCACGGCAAACCCTTTACAAGACATACTTTCCACCCTGTACCCAACGCGCTTACGAGGTTCGTGCAGGAGGAGGTCTGAAGAGCTTCGGTTTTCGGTCCCAGAGGCGGGTGGCTACATAGCGGCACATGCAAACCACATAACCCTAAACCCTGAGGGTCGCTACGTTGTTTAAGGAATATTAGGTACCTGCTCCCCACCTCCCCCTTGGAACCCACGTGTGCCTTGTCTAGGGTTAGAAGTACACCCTTATAAGAGCTGTATGAGCTACCAAAACACAGAGCCCCAGAAACAGATGCCTCAATTTAGGCTCAAGAGCTGCGGTTCATCAGCAAGACCCGAGGCCCTAACCACTAAACCAAACCCTAAACCCTAAGCCCTGAACCAAGGACGTCTACTGTCAGGCCTCCCAGTGGTTCGCCCACGCGCAGGAAGACATCGCACTTCGTCGTGAAGGCATACATGTACAACCTGCTGTAGGGTCTATGTATATAGACATACATATATGTAGTTAAGAATGTATATATATATATGGCCTGAGGGTTCAGCACGTATGGTGGCTTGAGGGTTGAGAAGTTTCAAGCCTAGCTTTTTAAGGGTTTAGGGCGGGGTTTAGGGGTTTCTCATCGGAGGACAGCCGAGATGATAGCCATGGACTGTGTCACAGGTCGATCCTAGCTACCTACCGACTACTCTCCATTATTACTATGACTGTCTCTTGTTCATGCTGCTATGATAACTACTCTTGCTCTTACTCCTACTCTTACTAATGCCATTACGAGTCCTACCCAACCGCCGTAGGATAGAAGGACTCCTTTTTGACTTAGTTTGGTTTAAAAGGGACCTTGACGCACAAAGCGGAATAAGGGTAATACTGGGCATCCTAGGCTTGGGATGGCGGGTTTAATGGGCGTCGGCTTTGGGATCTTAATTTGTTCTTGGCCCATACGCAAGACACAAGACCGAAAGCAGGTAGAGAAAATGTCAAGCGTCCCAAGGCGCCTAAATACCCAAAATCGACCCACTGATGGCCGGAAAGGCTCGTCTAGTGGCTCGTCTATTCGATGACGCTTAGGGTGCAGGTTTTGGGCTTGGGGTCGTATGGCACCAGGAATGCATTTAATGATGAACGATTGCATCTACATCTATGTTCTCAGCCCAGAACCCCTGAACCGGCAGTCTCATGTGATGGGTGTACGGTTTAGGGTTTAGGGTGTAGGGTTTAGGGGTTTAGGGATTAGGGGTTAGGGTCTAGGGTCTTAGGGTATGTGCTTTAGGGTGTTAGGGTCTTAAGGCTATAGGGTTCAGGGATCTCGGGACTCGAGGCAATGAGAGGATTCAGCAAGACACGGACTCCCTCTCAACTCCTTGTAGGATTTGGGTTCGGATCTGTGGCGCACGATGCTCAAGTCCCGACTACCCAAGCAGGAACCGACTTCACCCCCCCCCCCCCCCCGCCCCCCGCCCCAAACAGCCATGATCTCGAGCTCCCCACCAACCCCCCCCCCCCCACCCGGAAAAAAAAAATAAATGAACAAATATATGCATATATATATAATATATAATAAAAAAACGATAAATAAAATGAAACAATACCCAAGCAAGGAACATCGAATACGCTCAGGTGGGGGGTTTGGGATTATAGGGTTTAGGGTTTAGGCTGTAGGGCTTGCAAAATGCCTGTAGTGGCGAAAGAAGGAGTTGGCCACGTACCTGCCAGCTCAAACCCCACAGGTCATGGGTTTCCCTACTACCCCTCTCTGTAAACCCCCCCCCCCCCCAGGTTGGCCCCGCGGTTTAGGGTTTAGGGTTCTCTACCCCTTAATAGCCTTAAGTATGGGGGCACCTAGGCAGTGGTAGTGTTGAGACAGAGAGCCCCGACCGTTTGTCCTAGGCAACCAAAACCCTAAAAGCCTAAACCACTCATGGGAACCCTAAACCCTAAACCCTAAACCCTAAACCCCAAACCCCAAACCGCGAGGTACCTGGACTTCACGTATCTTAACTCCCCAACCATAATCCCTGAACCCCCGCAGCCTAAACAGCGAACCCTACACCCCAAACCCTGAACCCTACACCCTTAACACCAGACCCTACACCCTCGGCCGCACTGAGCTCTAAACCCTAAACCATTAACACCTGTCAGGCTTTGCAGGGTTCCCTAAACCATAAACCCTAAACGCCGCATCCAGACTGCACTGTTTACCCCTTTAGTGAGGAGCAATTGCCAGTGGACCCAGCCGCCTGTCAGGGTCCTCAGGGTCTGGGCTTCGGGCTGTATAGGGTTGAGGAATTAGGGTTTAGGGTTAGGGTTTCGGGTATAGGGTGTAGGGTTTAGGGTTTGGGGTTTAGGGTTTGGGGAACCACAAGTTCTTGCGCTTCTCACCCGCATTGGCCGCATTCGAACGCCAGGAGCACTCCACAATCGATGTCACGTCATCAAAGGAGAAGATGCCAACACTTCGAGGCCTGGGGTTTAGGGTTTAGGGTTTAGGGTTGAGGGTTTAGGGCATGACGGATGGAAGCTTCTTGAGGCCCATTTAGTGTAGGGCTCAAGATTCAGTAACTTTTAGGGGATGCTTGTTGAGGATACGGGTTTACGGTTGCGGGTCCACAGGGTTTCGGGTCAACAATTTCGGGCTTTAGGCACATACGCCCGAGTTGTAGCTCCTTGTTCCGGGTGCATTAATTCCCTACTTTGGCGTAGACCCTGGAAAAAAGTTTATACCTTTTTAGGTAGAAGTAGCTGCAACGGGAACCCAGAACCAAAAAAAGTATTAAAGTACAGTACTCCAAGACCCAGTATTATTTCCTGACTCCCCCAAAAAAAGAAGGCAAAAAAGCGGGTCCAGGTTTACTGTTTAGGGTCTAGGGTTTAGGGTCTTAAGGGTAGATGGCCAGAGGCTGGCACCACGGAAACGACACTTCCAGACTTTCTCCAATCAGGCATCTAGCTCTAGAACCATAAACCCTAAACCCCAAACCCTAAACCCTGAATTCCTTGAACAATTGCAGGCTTCTGCAGGCGTAAAGCATAAGCGTGGCCTTGAGATAGCCAACAGGTGCTGTCAAGCCAACACCTGAACCCTAAACCAGCTAAACCCAAAAGGGTTTAGGGGTTTATGGTTTAGTTTCAGCCCTAAACCCTGAACCCTAAACCCTAAACCCGAAAACCTAAACCCTAAACCCTAAACCCTAAAGCCCAAACATGCCCTTAAAAACCCCTAAACTCTAAACGTCCCGTGGCCCCAGGCGGCCGCTCCACGGCATGCTTCAGAAGCCAATCCTGCGGCAAATGGAAAGGCCTTAACTCCAGCTGGGGTTTAGGGTGTAGGGTTTAGGGTTATAGGGTGTAGGGTAAATAAACCCTAAACCCTAAGCTTCAGGTTAGGGGCCTGCGTCCTTTGCGATTCAGGGATCTTGGGGCTTTCAGGCTCTTGCTGGAAACACATGAAGTCTAAATATGATGCAGCTTTGACCACACCGCCCCCCCCCCCCCCTCCCCCAAACACTGCCGCTTGTGGTCCCTGTGGCCGGGGGGGGGGGGGGGGGGGGGGGGGGGGGGGCTAGGATTCAGGGGTTTTTAAGATTCATTTTGGGTTTGGGCTTTACGGGTTTTTTCCGTTTGGGGGTGGGGCGTGGGGGGGCGAACAGGGCGACTCGGAACCTTGTATAGCCTAAAACCCAAACACCCTAAGGCCGAAAGCCCTGTAGCCTACATCCCTAAACCCTGAACCCAAAACCCGAAACCCTAGTAAAACCGCACTTGAAAACCTTAAACCCTATTGAAAACCCTAAACCGCAGGAGGAAGGGAGCCCTGAAAGGGATTTAGGGCTTAGGGCTTGGGGTTTAGGGTTCAGGGTTTAGGGTTTAGGGTTTAGGGGGGGTTTCGGGGTTCAGGGGTTCGGCTTAAGGGGGCTTACAAAAGAGAATTTTGGCGTTATCCCAAAGGCCAGCCTAGATCAGCAGCGAACATGAGTTCAAGACGAGCACAAAGAATTCAAAAACAGCTCGGAACCTTCCCACCCCGAACTTCGGATTGTCTCTCCCTTCCCCCGACCTCCTTGCCCCTGAGTTTGATTATATATATTTTTTTTTTTGGGGGGGGGGGGAGTTCTTAAGCAAACAGTAGAGACAGCGCCTGGAACAGTCCAAAGGCATCGTCGGGGTTCAGGCGCAAGCGCACGGCATCCTGACAAAAGCTTGGTGCAGTAATTCTCATGCAAGGCAGGATCTGTGGTATATATGGGTTGGGATGTTCCCCCGTATACTACAGTCCTTAATGGGGATTATGATTGGGGGGGGGGGGGGGTACTAGATCCCTATGAAGGACTGTTAGTAATATAGGAACATCCCAATATGTAGGGTTTATAGAGTTTAGGGTTTAGGGTTTGCCGTTAGAGTGGCACAGAAGCTGGAAAAGGATTGTCCACACAGAGAAGATCGTACTCTGCGAGCCAGGGTCTTGCAGGCATAACAGAAAACGTCCCAAAACCACCAATATTCAATATGATAAGATAACATAGGGGCCTTAACAAGTAAGATAGGGTTTTGGTTTAAGGCTTAAAATAGTCTAATTATAAAGGCATCATAAGGGAATACCACTAGCAATTATTCCGACCCCTCCACCACCTATCTCGACTGGCAGATTTAAGGGGAATGACGGACTGCGATGAATGACAACTGGGGAGGGTGGGCTGGGTAGGGTACCCTAAACCCTATAAACCCTAAACTCTAATCGGTGGCTGACTCGCGATAATCGCGCTTCTAACTCCCGGATGTTGAATTTGCACTCGGAAAGTTTTTTCATGAAACTCACCGAAAAAACTTAGAAACTACGTTAGCTATGGATCTTGTGGGATGGCCAAAAATCAAGGGCGCCAGCACATGTCGCGCACGCTCCTTAGCTTTCGCGCATGTCTCGCGATAATCGCGTTTCTGTTGAGTTTCCGCTCGGAAAGTTTTTTCGTGAAACTCAACAAAAAAAACGGGGGAAAAAAAAAAAAAAAAACGTCAGCTATGGGGCTTGTGGGATGGCGGGTTAGATGAACCCAACACCCCAAACCCCTCAACCCCTAAACCCGAAGGCCCCGGTGACTTGGCTGCCTGATGTACTGCAGCCCTTTGCTGGTGCCCGTGTCTTGCTATTCAGCCCACTAACCTACCCTGGCAACCCTGAACTGCCCCAAAACCCCAAAACCCTAAAAAACTCTAGACGCCGCTATAAACCCTACAGACCCTAGACCCCCGGGCCCGAGATTCGTTGACCCAACCGCGATCACGCCAGCTCAAGCCTTCCCTCTGGGAAAACCTCCATTTCATGCATTCCGCTCCTGCTAGGCTTGGCAGAAAGTGGTCGCCGCAGTTGCGACAGTCTATCAGCCCACTTTGCAGGCAGGCTGGTACTGGAGCTGCAAGTGGCCCTGTTGCTGTTTTCTGTGGGCGTAGCGGCGTAGCGAAACTCAAGCAGCTGCTGACAGCGAAGCTCCTCCCCATACTCCCGGGGCAGAGCCCTGACTTCTTGCCGCTGCCACTGCAGACAGCTTGTGGACTGCACGTCCGATACTCATACGCGTCCTCGTGAACGATCGCCTCCTCTTCCCAGGCAAGCTTCCACAACATGCCAGAGAGATGCTCCTGTAAATCCGCGGTTACAGACGCACCCTCGCTCTCGCTCTCGCTCCCGCTCCCGCTCCTGCTCACGCTCACTCTCACTCTCACACACGCACTCTCACACACACACACTCTCACTCTCACACATGCACTCTCTCCCTCTCTCTTTCTCTCTCCCTCTCTCTCGCACACACACACACACATTTGTTTTAGTTTTCTCTCTTCCTCTCTCTCTCTCTCTATATATGTATACATTAACAAGCGAACATGCGTATGTGTATATATATACACACACGCACACATATTCTCACCGTTGTTGCGCACCTTAAAAATACGGAGTACCACAGCAGGGCAGCCCAAAAGGTTTTCGGAGAGCTAAGCCGACCCAACCTCCAGGACGATCTTCATGATTGACAGGAGGGTCGACGTCTTCTCTGGAGGAAAGGACTTGGACCTGCGCGAGGAACACCCTCAACCCTAGACCCTCGAGAAAGAGAAGAACAACAACACGCCACTTCTTGAAACCCAAGTTCATCTGCCAAAAGATTTCAGGATCGGAAGTGCTGATTCTGTCGGCCTATATGCCTCTGTCGCCCAAGGACTGCACCGGAGGGAACCCACACGGCAACAGATGGCATGCAGTCAGGCTTTAGCAGCAAGGGTTTAGGGGGTTTAGGGTCCAAGCACAACTCATAGGTTTGACGACCATAAGCCCTCACAACATAAGCCCTCCAAGAAACTACCGCTAAGCCGCTTAGAGTCAACGTTTGAGTCGATTTGATCAAGCGCTGTGCTGACAACTCCTCATTGGTTGTAGCAATGGCCATGTGCAGCTGACAAGCTCCTGCTATTCATGATTCAGCCTATAGAGACAGATGACGCTCTGCGCCCTCCTTCTAGCAGAAATACCGGAGTGTGTGTGTGTGTCTATATATGTATATATACAAATACATGTAATTATTTACTGCCGCTGTGACTATTCTACTTCATTATATTGTTGCTTTTTGGAGGGGGGCTTGGGGTCCACTCATATGTGCTGCCCTACCTAGGGTAATTAACCTATACATCTAAACTTACATACATATACAGACATGTAGCCTGGTCCTTCAAAGAGTAGTTCGCCTCATTCCGGTGTCTACAACATGCAAGACCCGCTGCAGACAGCCTCTTTCTAGCTTAGCAGGTATAACCTACTCATCTCCGGCACTGTTCAACCACACCCTAAACCCTAAACCCTAAGCCCTAAACCCTTTTGCTTCCAAAGATGGAACCGCGTCTCATGGAGCTTGGCACGTGGATTGGGTGTTCCGTTTTGAAGTAGAACTTTGACATAAAGACGTGCTTTAGGATGCATTGGCTTGCAAACAGCGGTGCTTTTGTTCCGGAGCCTTGTACATGTAATTCAGAAAAGGGACTAGAAACAAAATCAGTTCTGGAAATTGCAGCAGCTACCGAAGCTGCCTTTAACAAATCAGCTTCGTCTAGTGTTACTCAGTTCAGGGTGAACTAACTTCGGGTTTAGGGTGTTTAGGGAACTCAGCTAAAATTCTGAAATGAGTTTATATTAATTGCGAAATTAGGTTTGGCAAAGTGGGTGTGGACAGTTTTCTGAGTTGCTAAATTGCCTTACTTCTCCAATAACCAAGGGAAACATGTTAGGCTTTATTATTCCTACTAAATAAGGAAACCCAAATAGTTTAAAGCTCAGCTGTTGGAGAAGTAAGTTGCATTAACGACGCAGTTGATTAAGCTAGTGGCTTCCGTTTAGTTTCAGTAAAGCAGCGAACATACACTGCCAAACGTAACCTAAAGCGCCCCCCCCTTCACAAGTACATATAAATATAAATATACATATAAATATAAATATAAATATACATATAAATATACATATAAATACATATATATACACATAAATAAATAATGTATCTATGTTTTCTATGTGTATATAACGCTTTCAAGAGAGCAGCATCCCATTAAACATGCTCCATCCAACTCTCTTGCGGAAGTGATCCTTTACAGCCCCGTCAACCGTATGCCTCCGGGTTTAGGGTTTAGGGTATAGGGTCTTGAACCCTACGTGGAAATATAGATCAGCCCCCGTACATTGTCATCTGCACACATTGTCATCTGCACACTGGCCGGCGAGACCTACTTGGGCTGAGCTTCCCCCAGCAGCTCACACGACCCTTGCTGTTTTAGGGTTTAGGGCTTTGGGTTTAGGGTAAGCAGAAACTCATGGGCTTCTAGGGTGGGATGTTCCCCTTATACTAACAGTCCTTAGTAGGGATTATAGCACCCCTTAGTATTAGCCCTCTTAAGGACTGGTAGTAGAAGGGGAGCATCCCAAGGCCCCAAGGTGCACCCTGTATCCAAGGGATCCTACAACACAAGAAAAGGGTTTAGGGTTTAGGGTTTAGGGTTCAGGGTTCAGGGTTCAGGGTTCAGGGTTTAGGATACCTTGTGGGAGCCATGTGGGGGGTGTAGGGTCAAAGGCGAGATCATATCCCTAAACCCTACAGGGTGCGGCTGCGGCCAGATTCTTCACAAGAATCCAAGCTTTCGGTGTGGGGCTTCAGGGCTCTGAGCTTTGCGGAATGCTGCAACTCCCGAATCCCTAAGGCCTAAACCCTAAACCCTAAACCCTAAACCCTAAACACTAAACCCTAAACCCTAAACCCTAAACCCTAAACCCTAAACCCTGAACTTAGACTGGAAGGTTGGTTCGGCTGCAGGGTAGCAGACCCTTTGGGTTCAAATGCGCTCCACGCCAGATGTCCGGGATCCCGGCGCAACTTCCGTACAGTTTGGGGGGGTTTTGGGGTTTTGGGGTTTAGGGTTTAGGGATTTAAGGTTTAGGGTTTCGGGTTTGAGGTTTAGGGTTTTAGGGGGTTGGGGGTTAGGGGTTTAGGGTTTAAGGTTTGGGGACTCCAGAGATACGGCTTGCTGCATTTGCTCTGTCTTCCGTTGAGGCTACTTAGGATTTAGGGTTTAGGGTTTAGATGGCTATGTCAGCCTATGCCTGGGGTGGCCTTAAACAAAGGAAAGTGTAAAGTCTTGTATATTTACTCTGTTTTCAGAAACAAGGTTACCCTAAACCCTGAACCCTAAACTCTAAGTAGGGCTCCGAACTACCCGACCTCTCCCCTCCCTCAAAGTAGCTTGCTTACCCTTCATGTGCCGGAAATACTTGTGGCTAATAAGAAACGGGTGCCTACAGCGTAAGGGGCGCCGACAAAAAAGAATTCGTTTGCAGCTCGGCGTACTGGTTTAGGCCTAAGTTCAGTCCCTGCTGAAACACGATGACACATTCTGAATGTTATGACTACTAAGAACATTATGCAGATTATGTATTGATATTCTCTATCGTAGGAGTATAAGCCAACATTATAGATGTATATATACATACATTTAGTATGCATGGTCATATGTATGTTTGCATGCCTGTTTACATGTATATGATTACGCAAGATTAGGTGATTTTGGAAATGGCGTTCGGTAAGCGCCGATCGGCGCGGCAGCGGGTCCTCCGCCACTCTCTTGGGTGCAAACGGATCCCGGCAGTGAAACGCTGTGTTTGCTGCGGATGTCTAGGGCTTAGGGTTTAGTTTGCTGCGGATGCCTAGGGTTTAGGGTACAGGTTAGGATTTGGACCCTAAACCCTAGTCCCAAAACCCAAAACCCAAAACCCTAAACCCTAAACCCTAAACCCTAAACCCTAAACCCTTTGGGTTTGGGGTTCAGGGTTTGGGGTTTAGAGCTTGTGGACGTCTGAGGGGACAGGGACTCTAGAGGGCAGGCTTAGTTCAAAACGACCGTCTGTCTGCCCGAGGATCTCCAGCTTTCCTTGAGGAGGTGCTACCTGGAACACCTTGCTGCTTGCTAGGGCTTACCCAAAGGCTCCCTTGTAGTACCTTTTTTGGGGTAGGATACTAGAATCCCCGTTAACTCGTCCCAAAAGGAGCTGCATTGCAGCCTTCAGGTGGGGTTTAGGCTAGGGTTTAGAGTTTCGGGTTTCCGATATAGGGCGCCTATAACTCCAAAACCAACCACACCCCGAGGTAGCCCTAAACCTCCTGAGGCCTAAAAACTCTAACCTGTATGATTTAGGGTTTAGGGTTTAGGGTTTAGGGTTTAGGGTTTGGGAGCCCTGGCCCCTGGCCACAGACAGCCAAGAGGGAACGCTACACCAGACCCGGTTCGTCCTTTGAACTTGAATCCCTGAAGATGATGCCTAGATCCCTAAGGGTCCATGTACCTATATAGTCTATACTTGGGCCTTAAAGGGGTTCCCATATGGTAGCTTTAGGGCCCAAGTATATACTATATAGGTACATGGACCCTTAGGGACATGGTAAGTTTTCTAAATGATGGTCTCTTTTTTTGGGTGCCCTAAATAAGAGGGGCCGCCGGATTTTCACGACCCCAACGGGGACCATACTGTAGAGAATAGGGTTTAGGGTTTGGGGTTTGGTATCATCGCCTGAAAGCGAGCTAGCCCACACCAACCCGACGAAAGACTGCCAGCGCGGTCCCCAACCACAAGCCAGGAAAGCCCTCAAAAGCCGTTGCCCTAAGCCCAGAGGCTTATAAAATGAAAGCTGCGACCCCCTAAACCCTCAATCCTGAACCCTGAACACGAAACCCCAAGCCCGCAAGTCAGAAGTACCCAGGAGTCCTATACGAGTAGCTATGGTGAAAGCTGGTTGTAGCCTTGGGGAGTTATAACCTTACCTCCCTAAACCCTCCACCCCTACACTGCCGCCTCTAAACCCTAAACCTTCAATCTTTAACCTTACACCCGAAACCCTAAGCCCTAAACCCTAAACCTTTCTCGCGTCTTGGAAACACCCTCGGGCTTGAAGATGTGAAACAATGGTTCGCAGGGAGCCCAATCGTGCAGGTTGAGGGTTTAGGGTTTAGGATTCAGGACCCCTTGCGAGGGACCCTAGGACATTTGTAGGATAGAATGGCACCTTGGCTTCATCAAGAGCAGAGCCATGTTCTGAATAAGGGTACTCATGCTGATGATGATTTTGCTGATCTCGCCGAAGGACAAACAACTTCTGAACGGTGATTACACTTGTGCAGATCGTTTACAGTCAGGGTTCTGCAGACCGTGAAGGCCCCAAGCCCCAAACTCGATTAACTATCCTATTTATGAAGCGATACAGGGACCATGATGGCCGTTAAAACCACTGATACTCTGACAAGCCAAGTATGGAGAAGATGAAATATCCCAAGGCCCTGCCTACCCGGATTCGCTATTAGAGCCTATAGCCCCTTTAAAAAGGGCTATATATAACCTCAACCCTAACCCTAAACCCTCAACTCGAAACCCTAAACCCTTAACAAGCGCCCTGTATTTGACTATGGGGGGTCATAAGGCCTAAAAGAGCCGATCCTGCCCAGGGGAGCACCGGGCTCTCTGTGCAATTTATTGTAAACAGCGATAGGCTGGGGGATCAGGCGACTGCCTGGCCCAACTGGCAACTGGCGCCTCGCAGGCTGGCCGTTCACAAGTAAGTTTTAGGGTTTCTGTGGTGTAGGGGTTTACCTAAAGGCTCCTGTGTAGTACCTTTTTGGGGTAGTACTCCAGAACCTCCGAAAACTGACGCAAAAGGGAACTACATTAGAGCCTTCAACTAGGGTTTATAGGGCTTACCGTAGGGTTTACGGGCTTCGGGCTGACGGTTTAGGAGTTTAGGGTTTCAAGGTTGAAGGGCTTCAAAAGCTTCATGGCACAGATCCCGACGGTCCGGACTAGAAGCAAGACAGCTGCAGTTCCATCGAAAGAAACGAACGAAGACAGAGGCCTAGAACAAATTCAACCAACTGGGGTCGCAGGGTTTAGGGTTTAGGGTTTAGGGCGCCTCATGATTGAGGACTTCGGGCTGGGCACCTTTGAACTGAGATACTCCCAATATGGGTATTTCCCAAAATTTAGGGTTTAGGGTTTGGGGTTTGGGGTTTAAGGTTTAAACCCTGTTATAGCCCAAAACAGAACAGAATCTGCTTAAAGGGACCCACAACAAGGGTACCCCTGTTTTCGGAAACCCCCATATGCCAAAATCCCAGAAGATTCCTTAAAATGCACTCGGGGCTTAGGGTTGCGGGTTGTAGAGGCTAGGCTACTAGGAT